GTGCCTTGAGATGACGTGTGTTGTAAATTGGCGCTATATAAATAAACGGAATTAAATTGAATTGAATATCTCAAAATGGCGACATAGTGTATCATTTCCTGATCTAAAGAAATGAAAGTACAGATGAGAACCAATATCGACATTAAGATCTAAGGAGAAGCGTCATCTCCTGGTCAGAACCTGTAATTCAGTGAAAGGGCGGAGTCAGAGTAAACTGCACACCCAGGAGAAGGACAGTGGTTGGACAGTGGATGGGATTTCATGTCATGATTTTATCTAAAGCTCGGACCCACATGCAGTGAAACCAAACAGAGAGACACGGATGAAAAGTTTGACGGATTTTATTGAAGATGTTAAGCTCGGTGCAGAGTCTCCCTGAACTCTGCTCAGCCGGAACTGGAAGATGAGGGGAAGACAGACTATTAGTTCAGGCTCAGTGGGAAATTTGATTCGTTGACTAGAAGCAGAGGATCTGGTTGTTGACTCACGTTTCCAGAGAAGTGAAGGATCCTTAACTCCAATCTGTGTGTTGGTTTTCCAGAGTCTGTCTGACTCGGTGGAGGGCGGAACAGGGTTTACCCCGAACTCGGTGAACGGAGACGCTGATTGCCACTCAGATTTCCTGCTGTACTTGAACTTGTCGTGGTGAAGATGATTCCCTTGCTCAGAGAGCAATTTCAACGTCCTCAAAGGACACTGGATCCAAACCTCCTGTTTGAATCCCTGGCTCAGTTTAAGACTCAATTGATCCCTCCTGGGAGAGGAGGTCTGAAAAGGTCCAGTTTGCAGGATGACTTCCTGCCGAAAGGCAAAGACAAAAAACAAAGTTAAAACTCGGGGAGACAAGAACTCAGTCTTACTCAGAGAAAACTCAGCTTGGCTAGAGTACCAAAAACTGGAAAAAATTCTGGCGTAGAGGTAGTGGCAATCAGCAGCTTAAGAGCGCTCCGTTAATGATGTAACCGTCAGCAGGTGTGTGAGGAGGCGAACCGGAACCAGGCGCCTCCTGCTGGTGGAAAGGAGACAAACACAGAAACAAACACACAGACTGGAGTCCTGACATTTCACTGGGAGCTGCAGGGAAGTGGGATGCTATTCAGCTGGCGTTTGACTGGGAAGGGCCATTTTGAATAGCTGCTACTGTAACATGAGTTATTGACGTTAGTATGGGACCAACTCTGATTAGAAGGTTTTACGGGTCAATAGATTTTCCCAATGGTGCCAGGTTGGTTTGGATATCTTTCTCACTTAATAAACCAAAGCTATCATTTGGTAGCTGCTTTTTTAAAACTCACTTTATCTTGTTTTAATGAAAACTTAGCTTAATTTGGATAAACTAAAATGAACAAAAGTTTAAGTGCAAATCCTTTTATTACATACTTCGATAAAGTATTGATACGTTTATTACAATTTATCTTATGCTAATTACAGACTGTACATTTAATCAACTGAGGTTTTTTCAATGGTCCAGAGGTGTCAGGTTAAATACTAACATCAGACTACAAATACTAACCCTGCAACACAAATACAAGTCACAACATGGAAACAGGAGCCGCAATAAAAATACAAGCATGTATGTAGTTACCAAGAGCTGGTATGTGATACCAAGAGATTTC